CTATGCCCCTCTAGTTTTGAACCGTCTTACCCTGGGGAAAAGACCTTGGCTATACACCCTATCCATTTCCCTCATGGTTTTATAAACCTCTATAAGGTCACCTTGTGGGCGGCATGGTGGCTCAGTGGTTAGCACTGCTGCCTCACGGTGCCAGGGACCCAGGTTCGATCCCACCCTCGGGCGACTGTCTGTGTGGAGTTAGCACATTCTCCCTGTGTCTGCGTGGGTTTCCTCCGGGTGCTCCGGTTTCCTCCCACAGTCCAAAGATGTGCAGGTTAGGGTGGATTGGCCATGCTAAATTGTCCCATAGTGCCCAGGGATGTGCAGGTTAGGGTGGATTGGCCGTGCTAAATTGCCCCATAGTGTCCAGGAATGTGTAGGTTTGGTGTGTTAGCAATGGGGAAATGCAGGGAAACGGTAGGGTTGTGGGTCTGCTTAGGATGCTTTTCAGAGGGTCAGCGTGGACTCAATGGGCTGAATGGCCTGCTCTCACACTGTAGAAATTCTATGATTCTACGATACCCCTCAGCCTCCGACGCTCCAGGGAAAATAGCCCCAGCCTACTCAGCCTCTCCCTGTAGCTCAAACCCTCCAACCCCGGCCAACGTCCTTATAAATCTTTTCTGAACCCTTTCAAGTTTCACAACATCCTTCCTACAGCAGGGAGACCAGAATTGAACGCAGTATTCTAAAAGTGGTCTAACCAATGTCCTGTACAGCTGCAACATGACCCTCCCGACTCCTATACTCAATGCACTGACCAATAAAGGCAAGTGTTGAGAATAGCCACCCAGGAACTGAAAGGCATCAGTATAATCCGAGGCACTGAGCAAAGACTTTATCAGCTGTGGTACCATGAGTAAAGGTTGGGATTAGGGATAGGCAATCAGAGGGCGTTGTTCTCAGAGAAGAAGAATCACCCCTGGTCTTGGAACTCCAGGGAAAATACTCAGAGGCAACAGAAGAGCATTCATTTCACGTGAAACAGAGAGGGAGAGATAGGGGCAACGAGTCCCACTTGTGTGCGATCAATGAGAACAGAAGGTCATGGAAACAGAGGTCATTCCGAAAGGGAAAACCGAAAGAGCTGCGGATGCTGTAAAATCAGAAACGACAACGGAAGTTGCTGGAAAAGCTCAGCAGGTCTGGCAACACCCGTGGAGAGAGAAAGCAAGAGTTACAGTTTCGGGTGGAGTGACCCATGTCGGTTGGGGACGGTTTCTCTCGCTGGGGGTGGGGGGGAGATCCGGAACTAGGGGCCACGGTCTCAAGATTATCGAAGACCGGGATGGAGGGAAACGTTTCTCCGAGAGTCTTTGCCACATCCTTCCCCAAGATATTTTGCGGATTAGCGTGAAGGTAGATTCTCAGTAAGCGAGGGAGTGAAAGGTCAGCAGGGAAATGTGGAATGAGCCGTGGTCTTATTCGAAGGCAGATCTGACTCACCTTACACCTTGACTACACAAAAATCTCTCACAGAATTACAGTCACAGAGAGTTACAGGAGCACTAGGCAGTAAGAACGAAAGTTAATTCAAAAGTTGGGCGGAGGGGACACTGTCTAAATCCCACCAAGGTTCGAGCTGAGGTGTTCCCGGGAGAATCTGACCCCTTTAAAGAAACTGTTGGAATGAATTTAGTGTAAAAGCTGTACACGATGCACCCAGACCCTTCGGTCTAACCAGTGCGTGCCAACCATAATCCCAAACTGGTCCCGCCAGCCTGCTCCTGGCCCAAACCTTTCCTATTCATGCTCTTATCCAAATCTCTTTTGAACGTTGTAGCTGTGCGCGCATTCACTACTTCCTCTGGAAGTTGCCTCAAGTTGAAACACAGGGAGGAGGTGTGCTGTAGCGACCACGTATATGTTGTTGAGAATCACCATGCTATTGAGACTGAGATGGAAGCCTAGGAACCTCCTGCTAGAGAGTGGGATTACAGACCTCAGGCTGTGGAGAAGGGAGTTGGTCAGATCTCCCCAGAGCCAACAGCACTCCTTCTTGGCTAAGGCAGAGACTGTGATAGAGCAGTGGAGACGGTATCGGCTAAGGGAGCAGTGTCCCAGCAGGGACAGACAGAGCTCTGCCTATGGGAATCAAATCACCCTTACAATCCGTTCACTACCTCCCCCCATCCCCAGCCCGAGCTCGCTCGCTCCCTCTCTCTCTCTCTCTGTCTTGCAGACATCAACGAGTGTCGCTTTCGGTACTGTCAGCATCGGTGTGTGAATTCCCCCGGGTCCTTCACTTGTCAGTGTGAGCCTGGTTTCACCTTGGGGAGAGATAACCGTTCCTGTGTCGGTAAGTCTAACACTGGTCACTGTACCTGCACCTTCCTCTGGATCCTAAATACAAACCTCTCCCTCTCTCTCTGTGTGCCGCGGTCTTTCTCTGTGACTCTCTCTGCTTTTCTCTCTCTCACCCTTCTGATTTCTGACCTCTTTCTGTGCCTCTCTCCTTTTTATCTCTTGATCTCTCTCTCTTTCCCTCTGCATCTCTCTCTCTACCTCAGTCACTCTTTCTTTGCCCCCTGCTCTATCTCTCACGTTCTCTCTCCCTTCGTTTCCTGCTCTCTGTCTCCTTCTTTCTCTTTCTTCAGGTCACTCCTTCTCTATCAGTCTTTCTTTGCCCCTTTTTCTCTCTGTCTTTCTCTCTTTGCCCCTTTTTTCTCTCTCTCTCTACCCCTTTCCCTCACTGTCACTCTGTCTCCAGCAACCTCTGTCCTCTCTCTGTGCCCTTTTCCTCACTGTGGAACATTGAAGAGGGTTACATGGTTCTATCGAGTTACCGTCAGTGATTCAGACCACAGCCCAATCCCGGTGTCTCTGAGGTGCTTTCTGGTATCCCCTTGCTTCCCCACCTCCCTCCCCACACAATCACACTTCCACATCCACATATCCACAATCATATAGGCAGACACACACTGTCTCTCTCACACACTCACCTACCCCTACACACACTCAATTAAACTCTCTCTCACACACCCAACTACCCTCACATACGCTTACACCTGCACATATGATCAATTACACCGACATGCACACACCCACCCACACTCTCCCTCTCTTTTGCGCGCGCGCACACACACACACACACACACACACACAGTCTCTCTCTCTCACACACACACT